TAGCACTATAAATTTTCCTCTGCAAACTGATTTATTGTGTCCTACAAGTTCCAGTAATTTGTATTGGCATTTTTGTTCCACTACAGATATTGTTTAATTTCTTTTTTAATTTATTCTGTGATACACTGGTTGTTAAGGAGAGTGTTATTTAATTTCCATGTGTTTGTGGGATTCTCGTGGGGGTTTTGTCATTAATTTCCAATTTTATTGTGCTGTGGTCAGATAATATGCATGGAATTATTTTAATTCCTTTGCATTTACATGAGCATGTTCTGTGAGTTAGTAAATGTCTACTTTAGAGAATGACCCATGTGCAGCTGAGAAGGATGTATATTCTGATGTTGTTGGGTAGAACACACTGTACACACTATTAGGTCCATTTTTTCACAAGTTTGATTTAGATCTGTTATTTCTTTGTTGATTCTTTGTTTGACTGGTCTGTCTCTTTGTGACAATGGGGCATTAAGGTTTCCCATTATAATTGTATTACTGCTTATTTGACTTTTCATGTCTATTAAGATTTGTCTTACATAGTTGGGGGCTCCCGTATTTGGTGCATATATATTTATAATTATAATCTCTTCCTCTTGAATTTTTCCCCTAACGAGTATGTAATGATCTTCTTTATCTCTTTTGATCTTTCTTGGTTTGAAGTTCACATTGTCTGCAAATAGAATAGCTACCCTTGCTTTTTCCTGGGTTCCTGTTGCATGGAATATTGTTTTCCATTGTTTGACTTTTAGTCTGTGAGTTTCTCTTTGAATAAAATATGTTTCTTGTACACAGAACATTGTTGGATTTTGTTTCTTAATCCACTCTGCCAGTCTTCTCTTTATTGGTGATTGAGACTATTAAAATTGGTGGGTATAACTGATAAGTACTGACTTAGCATGGTCATGTTATCTTCCATTGTTGGTTTTCTGATTTTTCTGTTTAATTGTTGCCCTGCTTAGTGATTTCCTTTTGTTTTATTCTTGGGATTGTAGTATTTTTGTCTTTTTCTAGAGTGTCTTTCAGTACTCTTTGTAGTGTTGGTTTGTTGACCATGAATTTCTTCAGTTGTTCTTTGTCATGAAAGTATCTTATTTCTCCATCAATTTTCAAAGATAGTTTTTCAGGATACATCAGTCTTGGTTGAAAGATGTTTTCTTTCAGGACCTGAAATACTTCACTCCAAGGTCTTCTTGGCTTGAAGGTTTTTGTTGAGAAGTCTGCTGTGATTCTGATAAGCTTTCCCTCATAGGTGATCTGTTTCTTTTCTCTGGAGGCTTTTACTATTCTATAGTTGTGATGAATTTCTGATATCTTCATTATTATATGTCTTGGTGAATACTTATTTTGTTTATTGTTAATTGGGCTGCTGTAAGCCTCACTTATGTGTATATCAGATTCTTTTCCCATGTTTGGAAAATTTTCTGTTATTATTTCTGCAAATAGTCCTCGCGCGTCATTTGTTTTGACCCTTGCTTTTTCTTTGACACCTATCAATCTATATTGTTTCTCTTTGCATCATCTTGCAGCTGTGGAATTGTTGTTTCCAAGTTCCTTGTTATTTTTAAGAAATCTTTTCTGTCATGGTCATAGTCTTCCATCTTGTCTTCAAGGTCTGAGAGTCTATATTCAGCTTCATTCAAGTTGTTTTGCCAGCTTTCAATGAAATTTTTAATTTCTTGAATATCCCTTTGTATCTGTTTCATGCATTCTGATTCTGTCTTACATTGTACATTCAAGATTTCCATCATTTTCTTATGTTCCTCTATTTTTTATCTAGATCTTCTTTAGATACACACAGCATTTCTTTCATAATGTCTGTTATTCCATTTTTTAACTGAGAGTTTATTTCTGACCTGATTCCCTCTATGACTTCATGGTGTTGTTTCTTTACTTCATTTGTTACCATTTCAGAATGTTCAGCTTTGCAATTTCTTTTTTTTTAATTTTATTTAATAGGAAAAAGAGAAAAACAAAACAAAACAAAGCAGTGTAAGAGTACAAGTAATACAGAACTACAAAAAAAAAAAAAAAAAAAAAAAACACAGTAAGAAATCACCAGTTAGTAGATTACACATCATCATCTTAGAGACAGTGGTTCAGGTCACAGTATCAAAGCATACAAAGTGGACATTCAAACAGTGAGACTGCAAACAGTTGTGTTCAATGATCCAACCAAAAACATTAATATGGTCAGCTATTTAACACCCTTAACACACTTGCTGTTGTATCTTTTAGAGCACTTTTTTTCCTTCTCTTTTTTACAACAAAATTTACACATTTTGGGTTTTATTACTCCTTACTTCTTATTACTTTGGGGGGGGATAAAGTCAAATATGGCAAAACAAACCTGTCAGTCAAAACCAAGGATAGACATAGCACATGATGTAAAAACAGAGTACAAGGTTATCAACAATGGTTACCATAAAATTTCTGATGTCTTTCATTTCAGTGTCTCTTGGGATTGTTCTCAGTGGGCTGGAGGCCTGAGACTGCCCCTTGCTCTTTCGTTTTGTCATTTTCCTCTGGGACTTGTGTGGTCAGGTATCCTCCTAATGGATTGCACTGGAATGTTACACTGGAATGTTGCACTGGGAAGAGTTTTGATCCTCTGATGCTCCATTGGCTAGCTGGGACACACCCTTGACTTATGGTGCTGGATTCTTGTGCTCTATGGCCTGTGAAGCTGGCCAGGTGTTTCCCTGATGTTCTGCACTGGTTGCTCTGGGTTGCTAGTCTGCTCAGATGTTGGATCCTCTTGTTGCTAGCAGGGACACACCACAGGAGTGTATTGCTTAAGCCTAGAACTTGGTTGAGTGGTGTTGAGAACCTCAGGTGGCTAGTAGGGTTGCACCTACAATGTGTTGCCAGGTCCTAGCACCTGGCTGGGTGTAGTTCTACACCTCCAGGATCCAGGCAGCTATGTAGAGCACAACCCTGAGTGTGGAAATGCCTGGACCTTTCCTCTGGCTTAGAGTTCAGGCCATCTATTGAGTGTAGCTAGTCAGAGCAGATGCCTAGCATACGGTGCCAGGGCCTTGCTCCTGGCTGGGTGGAGTTTGGAACTCCAGAACCCACCACGTAGCTAGCTGTGCCCACACAGCTGATATGTGGAGCTGGGGCTTTGAGTTCGGATGGGTGGAGCTCAAATTCTCCACAATCCATTTTTGCTGCCTGATGGGCAGCTATGGGGCTCTAGGTTGGACTGGGCTTAGTAACCTCTGTGACTAGTGAGGCTGGCCAGGGGTTTCCCTGATGGATTTTGCTGAGACAGTGGGCTGGACAGAGTTCAGATCCTCTTTGCACCTAGCAAGGATGCACCCCTGGAGTGCGGCGTTATGGCCTTATGCCTGCCTCGGGACCCAGGGAACTAGGCAGAGCACAACCTCAAGCGTGGTGCCGCCTGAACCTTGCCTCTGGCTGTGTAGAAACAATTGAAATGCCTCTTAAGTTATACTGTACTCTATTCTCATTGTGAAATACTACTCAAAAATGAAAAATATTAATTATTGAACTATGAAAAGCATAGATGGATCTCAAGGACATTGTTCTGAGTGAAAAAAGACAATTTCATAAAGTCATACACTGTATGATTCCATTCATATTGCATTTTCATTATAGAGACAAAACAGATTACTAGTTTAGGGAGTTGGGGATTATCGGGGGAAAAGTGAGAGTGTATAAGGTCATACCACAAGGGAGATATTTGTAGTGATAGAATTGTTCTGTATATTGACTATAGTGGTGGTCATATAAGTCTATCAATGCAATAAAATGACTTGAATTATATGCATACATTATACCAATGATCATTTTCTGAATTTGGTGTTGTGCTATATTTACAGGACCTACAAACATTGGCAGTAAATGACTGAAAGTTAGATGGGATCTGTCTATACCATCCTTGCAAGTACCTATGGCCCTATAATTAGTTTAAAACAAAAATTTTAAAAGTTAAGCCCCCAAAATTCCATATTCTATTAAAAATATCAAATCACATATCTATGTCTCTTAACAAAATTTCTCAGCTTATTGTAGTCAAGTTGCTGGGAATCAATGATAAGGACAGTTACTGCTTTTTCATCAGAAATAATGCAGGCCTGAAGACAATGTGATGATTTTTTAATGTGCTGAAAGAAAGAAAAATACTCAATCAAGAATTCTGCATTATTCAAGTTATTTTTAAATGAAAGTAAAATGTAGATATTTTAAAATAAATATAAGCTGAAACAATATATGAGAACTACAATATCAAAACTGTTAATGAAAATTATTCAAAGTAACTAAAGTACTATAAAAGGTCAAAATTCAAATTTACACAAATAAATGAGAGAATTAGAATGGTACACACATGTCTAAATAGATGTTTCACTATTTTTAAAAATTTTTGAAAGATTGTTGACTGATTTAAGTAAATATAATGTGATGTACAATTTATAACATGTTGTAGAAAAATGTATCAGGACAATATCACAAAGAAAGACAAGTCATATTATATTCTTACATATTGCTATAAACTATTATAGTATTCACAACTTTATTTGTATGTAGGTATATCTTTATAAATATGTATATGTTCATATATAGAATGCACATAGGCATACATACATGTATCCTGAGACAAGCTCCATGTTTTACTACATGGTACATGGCTCGAGAAAGCCTATAAACTCCTGATTATGGAGAACATAAACAAATCCACCAAGTGACTCGTAAGCATGATTTAAGTATTTTAAAGAGAGTGTCCAAATGTTTTTGTTTTTTCATCTCTACTTTTAAATTACAGGATGTCATTCTTCCCTGACAAAGACAAAATGGAACCCAGTGGTGTATTCTGAATCCACCCAGCAGCTATAGCCATTACATCTATCCTTATTCTACAGATCTATAACTTCCTGCTTCAGCCTCCAACTCAACCTTAGTAGCAGAACCCCAGGTAATCAGAGATGAACTTTAATGATGACCACTGCTGATTCTTTCACTTGGCCATTGGAAGTAGCCCAAAGGCCCACTGAGAGAGATGGGTATTATTTCCCAGAAGTAAATACAGCTCAGCTTGTACTTTGGAATTATTGATCATCCTCGCCACTTGCACAATCTACTTGCAGAGGTAACACAGCTCCTGAATATGATCATGGCAGAATCTTGGGGACTCATCACCATCTACCTTTTTGGATATCTACTCAATGCTGAATGTACAGGTTTGTCTCCTTTTAAAAAATGCATTGAAGGCTTTTGTCTTTTAGAAAAATGTCTGGGGCTATCTTCACTGAATAATGACTACAAGATTTTGCGGCAATATTTAAGATTCTAGCAGTACTAGTATGTGCATTAATACATACTGGCTCTTCATTAGCTAAGTTATTACCTTCATTTTAAAAAACTAAATAGATTTACAAAATGTACACTGTAGTTTTGTTTAATAGATGCTATTGAGCTTATGATTTGACAGTGTAATTCCTCTTAAAAATCGTTGTCTCCTGGGTTTACAAAAAAAGTTGAAATTTGGAAAATGGCTTGACAGGGAAACAGCAAACTCACGGGGGGAAAAAAGCCTGTAATTTTTGGTTTTGTAAACTCGCCACTTTGAAATCAAAGAGGAAGCAAAAAAGTCACAAATGATGGCTTATTGACACAAAAAGTGTTATTTAAAGATACATGGTGTGTTTTAAAATTTTAAAACTATATAATGAGACATCTATTTTAATTGTATACATGTATACACATTTAATGTGTTAGTTAAAATAGGAATGTTAACCTTTAAGCACTGAGTTTTCACTTGTGTAAATTTTTCATGGGCTGGGAATAAATTATTTTGCTGTGATTCCATGTCTCAGAGTTGATATTTGAGGAGACTCAATAATCAATGGAACTCCGAGGAGGCAAAAACAAGTCTACAAACTGATGTAAAAAGTAGAAACTTAGTTAATGCAGCATACATTACTTTATTTTCTCACAAATACAGGTACTTTATATACTCTCCAGTGGAAGGGAAGAACTTTTCCATTTGAACAAACCACATGTTCTCACAGGAAGCATTTGTCATACTTATTGTCAACCTACTAGAATCAACTCTAGAAGCTGACAGATCCCGGATCAAGGGTGCCAACCCTAAGTGTCCCCAGAAAGCAGACTGGTCCTCTGGCTCCCACTCCAGACATGATGTCAGCTTTGCAAGCAGGCTAAAATGCTGAAATAATGGTGTGAGAATGCAAAGGTTAAATTGAACTAGCACAGTGGGTAGAGTTAAGGGATAAAGAAAATGTTTAAGAAAATTTACAAAGTGTAACATAAAGCCACGTCATTAGATATATCTCATCACTGTGACACATGGGTGGACAAAGGATCCAAATCCTTTCTTTAAAATAAGTGGTGAGATGCTGGTTTTAAGAGGGCTGTTCTTCCTACAAACCTCAGATACAGGAAAAACGATAGAAAGAACAAGGAGCCAGGATTTCAGAGCTAGAAAAATAATGAGTACAGATAATCCTGAGGGGAAGTTAAATATATGAACCTTAGAAAATACTGAATGTTGAGAAAGGCACTAGCATTTTTGAGTGATTATAATCAGAGATAATAGGCTCTTGAGGAACGGGCTGGGGGACTCTTCCTGTATGTGAGCAGTATCGATGCAGCGCACTGCATGGTGTGAAATGGTCGTTGTGTTCTAAAAGGAGATGTGTTTTCACAGGTATTGCTTTTAGGTGTTATTGTGTCAGTTTAAAATTTTGAAATCAAAATTTTTCTGTGGAACTAATTCAGTTTTGTAAAGTAGATGGATCAAACCTGTCATTCATTAACTGCTGAGTTAGTACTATGATAGCAGGTACTGTGCCAAGGTTACTGGGGACATGGGGAACAACCAGCCTCCATTTTTTACCTAAAGCCCCATGAGATCAGGCAAGAAGTTTCAATGTTATTTAATAAAATATGTACCACAAACTAAAGGAGCACAGAAGGAAGAATACAATAAATGGAGAAACACCTGACCAAAAGTCAGTATTTCGAGCTGAGTCTTAAGAGCTCACTATCTTTACATACATGATCTGGGCATTCCATGGAGAGAGGGTCCCTCATGGGCAAAGATCCATATCCACAGCAATGTGAGGTATTTCAGGAGCTCTGCCTAGTTCAAATACTGACTATGACAAACAAGGCGGAAGAACTCAGCAGGGCTAGGTCATCAGATAATAAAGGCTGTAAACTAAGGAGCTTGGGCACTACCATGCAGAGTAGAAGTATCAGAAGAAGTAGCACTAGTGACTGAGTAAAAGACTCAGGCTGGGATACTCTAATGAGCTGATGGTGGAGGACAGGATAGAGGAGGGTAATCTTAAGCTTATTGTAATCATCCAGGGGAAACACAAGGACGGGAACCTGCACAGTAGCTGTACAGAGAGGAGGAGAATTCAAATGATACTAAAGAAGTAGAACTGATACGATTTAATAACAATGGAATGTGGGAGATTAAGGCGAGGTGTATAAAACATATTTTGGTTTTGAGTTTCAGTTTTGAGTTTCATGTGATTATGGGAACAGAACAGTGCCTAAGAGCATAGGATCAATAGTCTGACTGCCAAAGTTTAAGTCCAACTACAATGAATTTTTTATTTTAAAAACATAAAAAAGGATAGAAGTGATACAGAATTTCAAATAAATAGGAAATTAATGCTAGTTAATGTGCTAGCATTGTTATCAAGAAAGTAGTTCAAATTATAAGATTTAGGCATAAAAATGATCAGACAATGAAAACACAAAGTATCTTTTTGATGAACAGAGATCAGCAGTGCAGTTATCTATCTTGTATATACTTACATACACCCACACATATATGTATACGTATGTATATATAACCTTTTCCTTTCTTTCTTTTCTCCTTTCCCCTATTCCAGTTGTTATTTCCTTTTGAGCATTTTTTCCTCTTTCATTTTCACAATATCTATTGTACATTTTGGAACTTACTTATTCTTTTTTATTTACACTAAAGAGACAAAAAGATATTTACACATGTGAGTGTGATTTATTTCATTTATGAGTATGGTCTCTATTTGTATCCACTTACCTATAAAAGCCTTGAGTTTATATTGTTAATATATGAGTAGTACTCCATTGTATAAAATTACCACCTCTCTTTTATCCATTCCACAGTTGATTGGCATTTGGGTTGTTTTTGGATTTAGCTATTACAAATTGTGCAGCTATGAACATGGTTGTACATATGTCAGTGTGGCAGGATGTTTTCAGTTCTTCTGGGAAAATACCTAGAAGGGAATACCTGGATTGAATGGGACTTTCAACCCTAGTTTTTTCAGGAATCTCTACACTGACTTCCCACCGTGGTTGTACCAGTCTACAGTCCCACTAACAATGGAAAAGTGTTCCTTTTTCCCCACAGCCCCACTGAAATTGGTTGATTTCTTGACGACAGCCATTTTGTGTTTTCCAGTCTATACTAGTAAAGATTTTCAGAGTAGCTATTGGTGATCTGAATTTCCACAGGATCTGTTGTAATTCCACCCATTTCATTCTTAATTTATGAATTTGTTTTTTCTTTCCTTTTCTTGATAAGGTTGATTAGAGGTTTATCAATTTTGTTTATTCTTTCAAAACACCAATTCTTTGATTCATTCTTTGTACTCTTTTCTTAGTCTCAATTGCACTAATTTATGCTCTGATCTTTATAATTTCCTCCCTTCTATGATCTTTGGTCTTGCTCTTTTTTTTTTTTCTAGAAGCTTGAGGTGCAGCATTAGGTTGTCTATTTGTGCTCATTCTGTTTACCTGATGTGAGAATTCATTGCTATGTATTTCCCCATTACAACCACTTGCATTGCATCCTACAGGTTCCAGTATGTTGTATTTGCATTTTAATTTAATTGTAGATACTGTTTAATTTAATCTATGATCCATTGGTGGTTTGGGAGAGTGTTATTTCCATGTGTTTATGGGGTTTTTGCAGTTTCTTTTGCCATTAATTTCTAAATTTAGTGACTATGGTCAGATAATATTCATGGGATAATTTCAATGCCTTTGTATTTACTTAAGCAATTTCTATGGACTAAAATATGGTCTATTGTAGAGAACATCCCATGTGCAGCTGAGAAGGATGTGTATTCTGATTTTGTTGTACAGAACACTCTGCAAACATCTAGTAAGTCCATTGTTTACAGGCTTGATTCAATTCTCTTACTTCTTTGTTGACTTTTTGTCTAGTTGATCTCTTTGTGACAATGGGATATCAACATTCTCTGTTACAATTGTTATTTCATATTTGCTTTTTTATGTCTATTAGTATTTGTCTTATACAGTTAGGTACTCCCATATTTGGTACATATATATTTCTCCTTATCTCTTACTCTTAAATTTTTCCTTTAATGAGTAGGTAGTGACTTTCTTTCTCTCTTTTGGTCATTTTTGGTTTGATATGCACATTGTCTGCAAACAAAATAGCTGCTCCTGCTTTGACCTGCATTCCTGTTGCATGGAATATTGTTTTCCATCCTTTGACTTTCAGTCTACAATTTTCTTTTTGAGTTAGAGGTGTTTCTTGTATACAGTATATTGTTGGATTCTCTTTCTTGATCCATTTTGCCAATCTACTTATTTTAATTGGAAAACTGAGACTTTTTATGTTAATAATTTTAACTGATTTGTATTGTATTGACTTAACTTTGTCATGTTGTTTTCCTATTGTTGGTTCTCTGCTTTTCCCTTTGTTTAATTGCTTGCCTTTCCTGGTGGTTTTTTTTCTGTTGTTGCCCTAGAATCGTAGTTATTTTTATCTATATTTAAATATGTTTTAGTACTCTCTCTAAGGTTGGTTTGCTGGACATGAATTTCTTCAGTTGTTCTTTGTCACAGAAGTGTCTTATTTCTCCATTAATTTTGAGAGATAGTTTTGCAGGGTACATCAAAGGTTTGCGTTGAGATGTCAATCATGATTCCAATTGGCTTTTCTTGATAAATGATCTGTTTCTTTTCTCTAAAAGCTTTTATTATTCTGTTGTAGGCTGAATTACTGAGAGCTTGATAATTATATATCTGTGTGTAAATTTATTTTAGTTATAGCTATTTGGAGTTCTATATGCATCATTTATCTGTACCTCAAATTCTTTTCCCATGCTTGAGAAATTTTATGCTGTTTTTTCTGCAATAGTTTTTTGATGTCGTTTGTGTTGACACTTGCATTTTCATTGACAGCAGTCAATCTTATATTGTCTTTCTTTCCGTTGTCTTAGAGTTGTTGAATTATTATTTCATAGTACCGTGTTATTTTTAAGAGTTCTTTCCTTTCGTGATTACTGGCTGCAATCCTGTCTTTAAGGTCTGAAAGTCTATCTTCAGTTTCATTCAAGTGGTTTTGCTAGCTTTCAGTGGAATTTTTAATTTCCTGGATATCTCTTTAAATCTGTTCAATGCATTCTATTTCTTTCCTATAATGTTCATTCAAGGTTTCCATCACTTTTCCATGCTTACATATTTTTTATCCATTTCTTCTCTAGCTATGCTGAGCAAGTCCTTCATTGAAGTTGTCATTTTTCTTTGCCTGAGAGATAAAATCTGATCTTATTTCCTCTATTGTCTCATAGATTTGTTTCTTTACTTCATTTGCTATCTTTTCAGAAGTTTCAGGTGTGTGACTTCCAATGTCCTCTATTTCAATGTCTCTTTAACTTTTTCCAGATTGGCAGGGGTTTGAGATTGCATTTTGCTCTTTCATTTTGTAATTTTCACCTCTTGGTTAATATTCTGGTCTTTTCAATCCAGATTGTCTTGACTTTTGATCATGTGTGTCTTAGGGTCCTATTGTGTGGCTGACATTCACCCAGTTGCTGAGTCCTACAGTACAGGAGGGACCAGTCACCTGAATTCCTCCTGCAGGGCCAGTTGTGTGAGTCCTATATTCTTCCTAGGCTGACTAGCCTAGGAGTATTGATGTGAAACAATCCTTACCTTACATTGTTACTGTTGCTTCAGGGTGCCACATTCACCTGCCCATGGTGTATCCCTCAGCCTGGTTCCTCTGGGTAGGGGAGTCCTCACCAGCTCTCTCACCTGTCCACCTGGGGTTCTCTGTATGGATGAAGGGCTCACCCTTTCTCTTGCCACCCTGCCAAGGTCCTCCATGTGGGAGAGGATTTGTCAAGCCTTCTACTGAGCTACTGAGGTCTTCTGCTTGGGGAGGAGGTGTTGTTCACTACACTCTTGCTGGCCTGACAAGATCCTCTGTGTGGGAGGAAGGGATTCCCAAGGATTTTGCCCACCCACTGAGGTACTACATATGTTAAAAGAGGTCCCTGTCCCTCCTGTTTGCTGCTGAGGTTGTCTAGGTGTGGGGTAGGGACAGCTAACACACCTGTCAGCTGGTCTTTCAGGTGCCTGTTATGCTTTAATATGTTACCTCAAGCAAATTACTTAACTTCTAGGAAAGTCAGTTGTCCTGATCTACACAAATCAGATGACATGGTTCCAGGAGATGAGTTCTATGATCTCATAGGACTACTGTCAGAGTGAGGTGGCATAATAATGGATGAAAACTACTGAGCAGTACTGAGCACAGTGAAAATACTATATAAACAGTGATCACTAACCCTATTCTGGTATATAACTTAGGGGGTTGGAAAGATGATCTGGAATTCAGAAAATATATCTGCTTAAAAATGAATATTCAGGACTCCATGTGGTAAAGACAGGAGTTTCAGCTATGTGTGTGTGAGCATCCAGGGAGCAAGCATTGGTATTGTGGCACTGAGCACAGTACCTGGAGGTAGTAATTAAATACTCAGTAAACTTTGTTGGGGCAGCACCAAACATGGGGCAAACTTGAGGCCTATAGGGATGAATGTACTTGCACACCCTGAGAGGGAGGTGTTTTTACATGTCATGCACTAAAGTGCTTAAGAGAATTGAGAGAATTAAGAAAGGAAAATGGGCCCACATGAGAGGGATGGAAAGAAAAAGAGATAACCAGTATATGCCTGTCTATATATTTACCTCCCTGATCTTGTCAAAATAACTAGGTGGTTCATCTTATTGTGTTACTTGTGCCCTTATTGTATGTTTGAGAAAATTGAGATTCATAGATTATGTGGTTTGCCCAACTTCACATTGTCAGTAGGACTCAGATATGTGACTCAAACCTAGGTCTGTCCGATCTGATTCTCACTCCTAATTTTTCACTTGACCATACTATAAATGGGTACAGACATGAATGCTATTAAGTAGTGTCAAAGGACAAGCAAACAAATTGCTGAGCAGAGAGAAGGACCTGAAGGAGCTGAGAGGCATCAATATGTGATGGCACCCTTCTGTAATTTGGTGATTCAACCCTCTTCTTCTGCCAAATGTTCAGCTGCTGCCTCAGAAGAGAAGCAAGATGGCAGATGGTTACACTGTTCTAGGGCTTGGGATTGCAGAGATAGCACTGATAAGGGAGTGAAGGGAATTCAAAAGTTGACAAATGAAGAGTAGGAAAAAAGGCTAAATGTTGAGAAAAGTGAGCAAGAAGACTTTCTGAGCAAGGATATCAAGGCACTAGGATGCTCTGTAAAGCCAACAGCTGCAATGAAAATAAGGTTATGAAGTTAGTTTTGTTCTTTCACATCTTTTTCGTTTTAGAGTTAATGAGAAAGTTGTCCCAAATGCCCTGGAAAGTTCAACTTATCCGTACTTGGTCCTGTTGAGATGACAGTAGATCTATTGCTGGTCTCTTGGACAAAGGAAAAACTCCAGGCAACTTCTTGAGCTCTCGTTATTCATGATATACGTGCTCACAGTTATAAATAGCTATATATGCATACATATATAGAAATAGAGATGGAGACAGACACAGAGACTAGGATGGGGAGGGAGAGAAGGTGAGAAGGATTTCAGAAAAAAAGGCTTCTATTCACCAATTGTGGGAGTCTCCACAGACCAGGAAGATGTAGCTAAAATAAACCACACTGTGAATTCCAGAGAAATGCTTACATTGCTGGAACTCCTATTACATACACCAACCAAAGGTTTTGTGTGTCTGAAAATTTTTAAAAATTAATGCAGAAAATTTTCTTTTCTATCTAGTGAAAGACACTGGGGTCATATCTGCAGCTAGACCAAAATTGGGCTTCTGTTCTTCAAAAGACATTTGTTGCCAAGTCACTGGGCAACTGCTTCCTGCACAATCCAGCCAGGGTGATGGATCACCTTGCAAGGAACTGCAGTGAGCTATTTTCAAGTGATGACAAAGTATGAAGTTAACTGCTTATTTGAGAACTTTCTTTTTCATCCAAAGTAAATTCAAATACAATTGAAAATCTGACCTTTTATTATTGGAGCTCTCCTGACTAACAGTAAAATTGAATTTTAATTCCTAAATCTCCACGTGTATACAGTATTGGGAGAACATTACAGATTTTGGCTCCATGCCCCCAAGAGAAATTGGCTTTGGGATTACTTGGATTAAAAACAAAGCCTTTCTTAAGAGATGCATTTAATTTGCATAATGTTTTCTTTTTTTAACTAAAAGAATAGTTCTTTTAAATTTCAGTTTTCCTCGATCATGAAAATGCCACCAAAATTCTGAATCGGCCAAAAAGATTTAATTCAGGGAAACTGGAAGAGTTCATTCGAGGAAACCTTGAGAGAGAATGCCTGGAAGAACGGTGTAGTTTTGAAGAAGCACGAGAAGTTTTTGAAAACACTGAAAAAACTGTGAGTACTTATACATACTACCCTTCAGATACAGAGCAAATGATAGAAAATGTTAAAAAAGAGCAATTTCCTTGAATTTTTAAAATACATATATTTGCACTATAACTGGTATAAAAGAGAAGTCAACATCAAAACATTTTAAATGCTCCCATTAATTTGCCCTCTTGTTTTTTTTTTCTTTATAGACTGAATTTTGGAAGCAGTATGTGGGTAAGCAATTCAGTTTATCCTGTAGCTGGTATATGAAACATTCAAGAATTATGGGTTTTTTCTCTGTATAAACAAATATCAAAGTCTATTAAAAAGAGTCAGAAAAATCTTTCACTCCAAACTGGATGATGATATGTCGTCAGCATGCAAGTATCAGCTGGCAGATAAACTAACTCCTCCCTAGGGCTTCACAAAGAGCATCATTCCACCCCAGGACATTGAAAGGAAGATACAAAAATGGTTGCATCTTAGGACTAAATGAGAGTTTGCAATTCTCAGTAGGCAGTTACAGAATGCTGACTGACACATGTTTATTGCTTCAAAGTCTTCCTCTTTATCACTCTTCCCCCTTTCCATTGCCCTTCTGGTCTCCCTTCTCCTGCTCTCCTCTCTACACACTGGACCTCAGGAATGCTTGTGCTTCACAGGCTGTGTCTGGTGGCTCTATCCCCAGCTTGCACTAGGATCACTGCCTCACCTCCTTCAGCACTTTGCCCAAGTAACCCCATCTCAGAGACGCTTCCCTACATCATCTGTTAATATTCCAACCTGCCCCCAGGATCCTCAACCACTCCAGATACTCCTATCTCTCTATTTTAATGAATATCCCTTATCTGAAATGATTGGGACCATGAGTACTTCAGATTCCAGGGCTTTTTTTTTAGATTTTGAAATATTTGCATATATCTAATGAGATATTTTAGAGATGGGGCCCAAGTCTGAACATAAAACTCATTTATTGTTCATATACAATTTATGTGCAGAGCTCAAAGGTAATTTCATAAAATACTTTGGATAATTTTGTGCATAAAATTATGTTTCATGGTATAGCATATTTCAATTGTGATGTTGCTCCTTGAAGTCTTGAATTTTGGAGCAATTTGTATTTTGGACTTTATTAGGAATGCTCAACTTTTAGCACTTTTCATCATCTAATGTATCATAGTATGTTTTTGCATAATTTATCATTGATTTTCTCCACCTTACTAGAACAGGAATCAGTTATTGCATTTCTTAATGTATTCCTGGCACTCAGAACAGTATCTGAAACAAAGTTATTTAATAAATGCATCCAACAGGTTGAACAAAAGGAGGAAAATCATACTTTAATGACAACTAATCTTAAAATTAATTTAAAATCTAGCTATAGGACTTTGAGGGAAGTGTCACGTGTTGACATTCCTAAGACCATCTGCAAAGATGGAAACAAATTAGCCTGGACACCAAATTCCCTAATTTCCATCATTTTGAGATTCAATTCTATTTTCTACGATTCCAGAGACACTAGAGTACATTCTCATATTGTTATAACTCATAGATTTCCACCTTTGCTTTTAATCCATGAGAGGAAAAGAGGTCTGCTCCATTATATTGCTTTATCTATCTTTCCTTGTTCTTATAAATGAGTGCTACCATGATCATTTCTACTGGACCCTTAAAGTTCTTTTGGGCAGTTTTATTTTTCAATTTTCTATTGCACTGAATTTAAATCTTTGAATCTCATGACTTAATTCTAAAAGCAAATCAGTGTCTACTGGTCCAAACATAATATTCTTGGATGCATTTAAACTCCCATGATCCTTTCATTGCCCATCCTACCAACAGCCCAGACCTAGCAATGCGCTGTAAGTTTGGCCCCTGCCTTTGAGTTTATACAGATGCATAACTTGCTATACATTGGGCATAGACACTTGGGAAACATCAAGGGAGTACTCGTGACATTGCTGCTTTGTTTATCAAAAATAAAGAAACAATAATGAAAACACAAAAGAAACAATCCCAATGCCTCCTTTCACTGGCAGTCAAGATTCCTAATCCCCATAAAAGTAGCCTATGCTGCTTTCTACACAGAGCAGAGCCCACGCTCCTCAGCACTGTACTACCCTCTACCACCAACTCACCATGCAAAGAGCCTGATTGCAAAACAATGAACCAAACACATTACTTAGTCTCTGTCAGTACTTCTCAAAGTGCCATTCACAAAAGTTTCTGGAATTATTATCACATATTCTACCTTTGTACCATCCTTGTGAGCAAAGTATAATGAATTCCATTTTAAAGAGAAGGAAACTGAGGCTTACAGGACTCAGTTTAAGGTTAAGGGACTTGCCAAAGTTCATTTAGTTGGAGAGTAAAGCTCAGAAGAGAACCCAAATTCTCCACTACCCAACCTCTCACCTCAAATATAAACACAGTTGCTCATTAAACAGGAGCTTAGTAGTTTTAAATGGCAATCTCTCACTTGGCAAGGTCCTGTCTCGTGTTGTTTTTGATCCACACCGACTATGGCTTTGTCTCAGCCCAAAGACAGGAACTCAAACAAGGACTAAATACAGGGTAAAATGACACTCATTCTAAAGATATGTTTCAGCAAATGAGTTCTTGTGTAGTTGGCTGCAAGCCCAGACCCTTTCAATGAAACATCCTAAATAATTCAGAATTGTTGGTCTGTAATATAAAGTGCAAATGTAGTTCATTTTTTAGGCCAGTTTTGAACATCAATACTAATAAACCAGAGATAATGTATTTTGTTTTCATAGAATTGGAACAAATTAAAGTATCTGTGCAAAAGCACATTGGATCAAGGGCCAGAGGGGACAAGGTCTAATTTTTATAGCAAGCAGATCTTCCACAGAGAGAGTACTTCTGAAAAAGGGATATTGGTCTCTTGGTCAATACAGCCTGCTCTGGCAAAGAGAAAGGACAGGCAGGCATATACATTCTGGATGTCAAGGAATTTTCCTTTAAAATAAGATTAATAATTAGAAATTTTCCTTTGCTTTCCCCTTTTCTCATTTTGTGATTCTTGCTGTCATTTTTATTTCTTACTCTTTTCTTGCTCACATACTGAGTCTTACTTAAAATGTGATCCCTTTTTACTTCAGAGTTGTTTTTCACAACTCCAAGTGTGTACCACTAACCCTTCTGGTTGTATTCATTTATTTCTCCTGGAGCTTCCTTAGAAGTATGAATTGAGGCAGAGCACTAAAAAACCAGACCCTGACCCTTCTCTCGCCTATGCCTTTGTCTTCTTTTATTACTACCAGTGTCTTCAAAGGCTGTCAGGAACTCTGCAAATGTGGAAAGTTCAGAAAACGTAGAATGAAAACAATCACCTTATTCAAAAATAAAGCACACCACAGAATCTTTTTAAATTCGTATGATCTATTGAACATTATGTCTCACTTCACCTAGACCATTTGAAACACGTAGACAAGAAACTATCTCCAAGCAATAATGCACCCCTCTGGCATCTTTTCTATTGTCTTGAACCCTTAAAGCATATGACACTTAAACATTAAATGACAACACACGGAAGTAGACACATTCGCCCCATGCTCGGGCCAACAGTTTCTTGAGTGAAAGCATCATTTTCCTTCTAGCTCAGGTTGCTCTTCAACACCTGTTTTATGCATGTCTTGTATGACATTATAGGTAGTACTGAAGTGGTTTGATTTAAAATTAACTCTACTATCACTCTATAAAGAAGGACTGGAGATCTTCTTGACCCTGTGCTCAAACAGTGTATTTGTATTCGAAAATACTCTTACTCCTCTTCCCTTGGGTTGCAAAAACTATATACATGTCTTCCTGGGGACACTTTGCTAGGATATGGGTAGCCTGAAAATCTTGGCTGGGGTGACTTTTAGAAACTCATGCAGACAGGAGCATTACTTGCCTATAGGCAACTGGATTTCAGGTAAGTAGTTCTGTTCAGACCCTAAAATCAGATTCCCTTTTCCCATAACTCTGTGCTAGATAATACTGGACATTCTGAGTAACTGATCTGATAATTTACTTTCCTAACCTATCTCAAAGATGGAGATCAATGTGAGTCCAATCCATGTTTAAATGGTGGCATTTGTAAGGATAGCATTGATGCCTATGAATGTTGGTGTCAACTTGGATTTGAAGGGCGGAATTGTGAATTAGGTAAGTAACTATTTTTTTTACGATTTCTTATTTAGAGTTTTTAAAAATCACATGAAACTGGAAAATGCAACATTTATGTATCATAAGTACCTGTTGAAAACATACTTTCTAGGTTTATAAGTATCATTTCATTTATAGTCATAGTTTTCAGGATATGCAGTCAAGAAACTATATTACGAGAAATAATGGCATTTGGCAGTAATATTAAGTGATACTGTTCTTATCCTTGATTTTCTTATTAATCCTTATAGACTTAATAGCATTATCAGCCTTATTTTATGCATGTAAGAAAACTGCTGCTCTCAGAGCTCAAAATCAAGAGGCATAAATGGCTGAACCAGAATCTGAATTCTAGTTTGACCAAAACCCATGATTCTAACAACTAGGCTGAAAACTCTAAGAAAAATGAACCCATAAAGTTGTTTGAAATTGCGACTAAATTGCTATCAACCTAGGCAGTAGAAGTCAATTACATATAGAACTGGAGTATACCAGGCCAATTATCACATACAATAGGAACGCACATACAAACTATTTCATACGTTAAATGTATTGGCAAACATCAGAGTCGTTTTTGAATTCGATTATATTAGTTACAGCAAGAGAAGTAATACAAAAAGTCTAGGATTATTGTATATCTTTTGTTCTCATAGCTTAGGATACTTTTTTGAGGTTTTAATAAATGGTGTAATAAGCTGCCAAGCTCCTTTACCCACTCAATCATTACCTCCGGATGCAATACTAATGGTATTGTGACTGTGAAAAGCACACAGTGCTAAGAAGGGAGTCTCTGTTCTGAAACTCTAGAATAGAGATGCAATCCTAAGGAAAGAATTGAACACCCCAGGCTACATGACTCAGGATAAAGAGTAGAAAATTAGCAGGACACCGTTAAGGCATTACAGCCATCCCTCTGGCAGATGAAAAAGATACAAAATGAAATGAAATGTAGCGGCTGCAGCTGTCCTATTGAGAAAAGAAAAAAGTCACCTGTAATATTCAGAAATCCTTTCAGCACAAAAGGGAACTTCATTGATCATCTTTCTTTGAGATATGAATGACCTTAGAAGAAAATGAAAAGGGGACAGAGAAAAAAACCTTCCAAAAGGAAAAATAATAGTGAATGCAGCTGAATGACCTAGTATTCCTGGGCTGAGCTCCTGTTCCTTTAGATTTCCTAGTGTGGGGACAAACCAATGCTGGATTACCTTTTCTGTGGATGTGTTAATTGGTTCAACGTCTCTAAAGTGCTGTTTTCATTTGAAAGATTATAATTTCAAATTCAGATGTACCTAGATAAACTCGATCCTGCTATTATGGAAATCTACAGAAATCTTTGGTGTAGTTACTTACCAGTTTAAATAATATAGCTATTGGAGCTGGTGGGATGATTAGCTCAATTAGTCTCAGTTACAACTGAAGGGCATATTGTACTAAACTATCATTGAAAAAATAAATGTCTTTAGTTTAAAAATAAGCAAGGAAGACTGGCCTCAAGGAATGGAAATATAAACATAGAACTTCTATAATAGGGGTAACTATCTACCTAATGCTAAGACTACCCCTGGCCCCAACTGAATACTTTAGGGTTTCCACATTTCTTTTTGATCAGGCCCCTGCAGATATACTGCAGCTACTAACACCCTTGCCCTCTGGAGTATATTGATTTCACCCAAGCCATCTGATCAAGGTTTAGACAAATACTTTCAGCTCCATTAGTTCAGAAACAAAACAGAAATTCTCTGAAAATGCCCTTTATCTCAGACACTAAAGGAAAGCAAGAACAAAAGCATATGCAGGTTGTCATTTAAGCTTATTGCCTTAAACTGAACTAAGGGCTAAACTCAAAGCCACTAGACAGCACAGTTTATACAGTATCTTGGTCCCAAGCCTCTTGCTTTACCCTGTCATAGCAAATGATGAAGATTCCATTGTTAAGATCTCTTTGTTTACTTTTTCCCTTGATCATCAGGCTCTTCAGCAAGGGAGAGAGGTACAAACGGTCAGGATATGCTTTCTAGTTATAACAATAACAATTAATTGGCTACTGAGTGCTTTTAACTATAACAAACACCCCTTTAAGTCCCCAGGTGCAACTAAAGTCCAAACGGCTTTCAAATAGATCAAGGCCTGTAAGAATATTATTCTCTGCATTGCTTGTAAAGAATACAAGAAGTATTTCCCCACAGTGAAATATGATAGGAATTTAAAAATCACAAGATATAAATACTCATTTTTAAAAATTTTCAGCACATCACAGACACCACTGTCTTATTTAGCATGTCTCTGTGGAGGAAAAACGTTGAGTTTAGTTGAAAACCATCCCATTTGGTGGCAAATTTGTTAAACAGAACATTTTTTGTTCAAACTTCAGTAGGCACATTACTGGAAGTATCATGGAAGATGAACACAGTAAAATAAAGCAGAATATGATGATTTTTGTAAGTATGTATAAAGAGAATTAGAAATAGTGTCTGTACTAACATGAAGGGAGAAGAACAAATGCTTTTTTGTGGTCTTTAACATACATTCTAGCCACTGAGCCGGCCTCAGGATGAGGGGGAACCCATGTCCTATATAGTGTATGACATCTATATGCTCCGCAGTTGATAAATGAGTCCAGTTCTGACGTGTTCTTAGGTCCTGATCTAATGGCCTCGCCCCTGGAATTTCTTGAGCTATTATTCTACTTCTGGACTCTTGAGCCATTCACCTGAGGGTAAAATCCTGCTGATTAGGCAACAATGTTTCCACCAGATGCACAAATCAAGCCAGAGGTCAGCAGCAATGTGAAATGAGAGAAGTGAGCAAGAGGTCTGGTTGCTTAACTATGGACACAGAATGACAACTGGGAAACCACACCAACTTTCCTCATTCCTAATGTGCATGCGCCGAGCAAAACCAGGCTGCTCCCATCACCCTCCTCTTTCAACTTATCACAATCTCATATTGACTGAACACTTTCTGCAGGTGGTATTTGATTTGGCTGAACATTTTAGTATTGGTGTATAGCAATGATATGATAGGTAATAACATGAAAAGAGCCAAGGATGTTATCACCGTACACTATAAGAAAGCTTTTAACAAACAAGTAAAGAAAAAAGACCAAGTGAATTTTTTTTATCATACCTTTAGTGGTATTTTGCTAGCAAAGATTGAAGCTCAGGTTGGTTTCTTTTTTCTCCTGATAACAGTTACTCTGCATCTTCTTATTTCTGGAACTACCAGTAAGGATTATGGGATAATTATTAAATTAACTTATGGTATCACAGGCAAAGTAGAGCAACACAATTTAGATTTATCACTCAAAAATTCACAATATTCTCAAAAAACATAGTCACCCCATTAGCCTGAATTCCTCTATAGAAAGAGGCTGTTAATACAAACCTAGAGGACAAGACTAAGACACAAGAAAATGAAGCAGTGAGGGAAGGAAAATGAATAAGAGGATTAATTATCTAGCTAGTTGCCTGTAACTGCAACTGGTCACTTGATCTCCTGGTTCTGTCTTCAAGAAGCCAGATGGTCTGATCTCAGGATAGGAAGCCTAAGCAGAAAGGAGAAGTGAAAGAATTTGTCCATCATCATCTGCCTTTCATTGGTCAAAAGTTCATCTTATGGGGAATTAACTCCCCACGTTTGCCACTTGGCTATGCTTGGGTACCAGAGAGGCATACAGCATCTCATGCCTTAGCATCAACATGGAAGCCCAAAGCAAGAGGTGAAAGGTCCATGGTACCCATAGGAGCCAAGGAAATTCAGGGCTGTACTTTTGTAAGGCCAATTGAACTTAATGTTGAGCTGATTGCCACAGTACTAAAAAAAAAAAAAAAAAAAAAAGACACAGATAAACCCACAGAAATGAAGGTAGTATACCAGAGGTATCTAAGAGGGTCACTCATTTTTCAAACTTTCCATGCTATTAGTGCACTAACAACTGAGCATTTCTATTGACAGTTGCACTATATTCTACTGTGCAGGTAAGGAGAAGGTGTCTTACATATATTTTATTCCTGCGCTGCTCTAGAGACAGAAATAGGCCCAAGGGCCTCAGCTTCTTTCTCTAAACTCAGCAGGTCTCAGCTAGCAAGCCCTAAAGCTTGGTATTTTCTGTTATAGAGACTGCATAGGAGGAACACAGGGAAGCACAGTAATTAGAAAATATAAACTAACATGGCAAAAAATAAGGCAACTATGCAGCAAATCACAATTAATGTGAAGTGGGGTTAAACTAATGTATTAATGACAACTTACAGTTCGGAGTTAAAATGTAATTGCATACTGCTGACAAAGAGATACTTAAAATTACACCAGGAAGCTCAAATAAAAGGATAAAAAAAGAATTATCAGGTATATGCTGGCAAAAGAAACTGGGAAAGCAATCTGAATATCAGACAAAATAGACTCCAAGATGAAAAGTTTTACAAAAGACAAAGGAAGATATTTAATATTCTCAATGGAGTTTACATAGGAGAATAAAGAAAATGTGGGCCGGCAGGATGCTCAGTGCAGTCAATGCATAATGTGTTTAGCATTTAGCTACATGAAAGACCCTACTTCATCCTTTTCTGTTTGACTCCCATCTAGCTCAGTTGGCTTCAAGTAGCTTTCAGGTTCTATGGACTCCTCAACACTATAATTTCTAGGGCTCTCCAGATTCTCCTTCTGGAAGTAATCTGTTAAATTCGCTAGCTCTGAAAGTCAAACAACTTATAGAATAGCTAAGTAACAGAGGCTGCTGTATTTTGGTGCAAAAAGGCAACATTTACATGAAGTTATGGGGCTGTTGGTGTTTTTCTTATTCACTGAAGGAAGTAAGTAATTGTAACTCTCAGGAAAATGATTGTCTGTATAGAAAACCCAAAGAACTTAAACAATTACAATTAATACTTACAGAAAGGCTACTAGATGCAGAGTGAACATACAAATATCTATTATACATTTATATACCCACAAAAATTAAAGAAAATAAGTTTTAATTGAATAAAAAATCAGTGTTTAGTAATAAAAATAAGAAAGACATAGAAAAAGTCTACACAAAAAATTGCCAAACATTTTTTAAAAGGAAGAAATAAATAAATAAATGGATATTCTGTGTTCAAGGATTAACGGCTACAATATAGTGAATCAATTATTTCCTAATAAACCGGTGTGGTGGTGAACACCCATAATTCCAACATTCAAGGAGATGAGGCAGGAGACTGGCCGGGAGTTCAAGGCCAGACTGGGCTACATAGTGAATATGAGGCAGCTTAGACTACACAGTGAGACCCTGTATCAACAAAAATTATTATTTCCTAATAGATTCAGTGCAGTGTCAATAAAACTTCCTGTAGGCTTTTTCTTTGTTATATATGGGGAGTGGTATGGAGAATTCTAAAATGTTCATATATGAAAGTGCACAGGGCCAAAGATAACAGAGACAAACCTGAATAAAACTGGAGTGCTTTCACCATCAATTACCAAGATGTATAGAGATAATTAATTGAGGTAGTATGGTATTGACACAAGGGTAGACAAATAGATCAATGGAATACAATTAGAGAGTCCAGGAACAGGCATGCACTTGCAAAATGTCTTAGTTACTTCCCTCATTGTTGGGACAAACTACTGACACCCACAATTCAGGGAAGAGAAGGTTTATTTTGGCTCACAGTTTGTAAACATGTCAATTCATAGTCAGTGGGTGCCAGGGCAGAAATACATGGTGGGAGGGGCTGGGCCGAGGAAAGTTGCTTACTTCATGGCATCCAGGAAGCGGAGAGGTTAAGGGAGGAGCCAGGAAGAGAGATACACCCTTCCAGTCATGCCCACAAGGGCCTCACTCTTGCAACCAGACCCTACCTCTTAACAGCAAATCAGGTATACATACCACTCCCACAATCCAATCATCTTCCCAAGGCCCCACTTTTGAGCTCATGAGGCTTTGAGAGTACGTTCAAATATAAACTATAACACAGAGAAACTTGATTTATGACAAGAAAAGCCACTGCAATGAAGAACAGAACGGCTGGTGATTTCCATAAATAATGATTAAGTATGTATGCATGGAAAATATATCTGGACCCCCTACCTCACCACATTTAATGAAATCCAAGTGGAACAATGGATCTAAATATGAAATATAAAATAACAAAGTTATATATTTTTGACTTGGGATAACCAAAAACTCTTGTTTTTGCAATGCTAGGGATCAAACCCAGAGTTCCATATGTTAGGCAAGTGCTATGTCATAGAGCTACATCCCAAGCCCATTTTGTTTTATTTTGAAATATATCCCAATTCCCCAGTCTGGGTTAAAACTTGCAATCTTCTTGCCTCAGACTCCCAAAAGTTGGATTATAGGCATGTGTGAAATTACAGCTCCAAAAATCTCCTTAACAGAATACAAAAAGTTCTCACTGCAAAGAAAAAGATCAATAAATTGGACAATATTAAAATTTAGAATTGCTATTCAGCAAGACAATATTTAAGGAGAAAAAGGAAGTTGCAGAGTAGAGGAAGAGATCTGCAATAAATGTATCTAAGGATGACCTCTCATGCACTGATAATTGGAATTTAAATTTGTACTATCATTTCAGAAAATTGTTTGGTACTATCTAGTAGACTTAAACATAGGTTCCAACAGTTCAACTCATGTATAAAAATCCAGGAAAATGCATGCTTATGTTATTTATAGGTATGTACAAGGATATTTATTTACAGCATTGTATGTAAGAGCCCAAAACTGACAATAACCCAAATATCCATTAGTAGAACGGTTGAGTATAAGTTGTAGTATCAATTCAGTAGACTACTACACAGCAATGCAAATGAAGTACTGCTATATAAAACCAACATAGATGAATCTCACCAACAAAAGGTTAAATTAAAGACACAGAAGATTATCATGAGCTTCAATTCACATGAAGTTTTGAATCAGATAAACTATTCACACAATCAAAATGAGGTAATGGTAACCTGTGAGGAGAAAGCATACACAAGAGGTAGCAGTAGGAAAGCTCTTGGGTTTTTGATACTGTCCTGTGTGCCGATCTATGTAGTGTTAAAATAGGTGCATTTACATATGTTCTATGTTTAAGGACCAAGTTCCATTTCTGCAACTAAGTCATTAAATGAATTGGTCACTGAATGTATATAGTATGATCTATATTACAGTATAGTATGTATGTTACAATATTCAGAACAAAGAAATGCTCAAAACAAACTCCAACTCTGTGACTTTGTTTTTATTTGCATGACTTTTACATAAAATACTGCAATGTATAACAACAAAACTACAGTGTGGTACTGTACAGTACAACCAGCAAAAATACAGTATATACTATATCAGCAAGGTGTACTGTACAAAAGAAAGACATTGAGGATCTATAAACAACGTTTACAGAACTGTACAAAAAATGGGTCATAACTCCGAGCAGTGGGTTGTGTATCTTGGTCATAAATCCCATTATTAGACAGGCAAGTCGTTAAAAGAGGAATTCCTGTACTTTGTGAAAAAACATGCAAATTGGAAATCGGGTTATACTTCAATAAACTGATTTTAAATTGCAGCCCATGATTTGGTGAAAGCATAATGCCTAATCATTTAGTCCTATACCCAATCCATATATTCCTGTTACCACTTTTATGCTTTACTGAGAATTTTATTTGACCCTCCTTCCTACTCTTAAGGCTTCAAGTCTCATCATGAATGCTCCAGCTTATATTTGGCCCATACATGAGTCAGTAGTTCCATCTTATTGTTTTAGAAATGTGTGTTAAATTATGGTATGACTATCGAGTTTTCTTTCTTTCAGATGCAAGCTGCAACATTAAGAATGGCAGGTGCAAGCAGTTTTGTAAAACCGATGCTAAGAACAAAGTGATTTGTTCCTGTACGGAGGGCTACCAACTTGCAGAAGACCAAAAGTCTTGTGAACCAGCAGGTCAGAATCTAAACACATTTTTTTAAAAAATCTGTATTTGAACTTTTAGCACTTTAATACGTATTTTTAACTCCTGTTTGTATCTACTTCCTTGAAATGAAACAAAAGATCAGTAACCTGAATTAAACAAATCCATTCACAAATCACATCATCATTTTAAACATAAATTCTGTGATTATCTACAGCCTGAGTTCTTTTCTGCGCTCAAGCACTTTCACTGACTTGTGGATCACAGAGCAATCGATTTGTGTGATTTCTGTGTATAATATCAGTAATTCATCTAGTCAAATGAGTACAGTAGTAGAGTACTTAACATAAACGTGCACACATGATTGACTTAATGATAGGTCTCTAGTATAAAGATGGTGAATTTTAAGCATAAGTCTGTCAGGGCTTACCGGGTTTACTCTGAGAAAGTTATTTTCTGGCTTTGGGTCCCAAGCTGAGCTTTTATATTTGATATCACAATGGTTCCAGCAACTACTGTTCAAATTCTGCTAGACTGGTCAGCACAGCCTACAGAGCAGGGGACAATGCAATGTTTCCCAGTTATGATGACCATGTTACCATGTAGACAGGTGTATTCAGAACATCGCCACTCCACATTCATATTGCTCAGAAAATTGAAGTAGAAATTTGCTACTTTAAAAGTTTGTTTTCTTTGAAATAAAAATGAGGCTCTGCAGGATCAGTTATCTTCAATAAGTGAGGGACCATTTGAAGCAAGCTAACTATAATTTCTTTTGCATTTCTAAATCCTACTTTGTATTGATTTGGCACCATAAACCACGTATCACTCCTCTGTAACTGCATTCGATACCTATCTCTGCAATGCACTAGGCAGAGGCTATGAAAGGAAGGACATGAAACCCAGAGTATAAATGCTGTGCCTAAAACAAAGAGTCTTCTGTTTCAGGGCTGACCTACCTATCATTCTGCATACTTTTTCACATACATAAAGCTAGCATACATTGAGAGGAGTGTGTACATATGTGTGCATGCACACGTGCACGCACACATTTGTATGTATTTAACTTTTAAACGTGAACTTCCCGTGATGGTATAATAGCTAAGTCCAGCCAGGCCAGGTAGTACATGCATATAACTGAGCACCTGGGAGGCTAAAGCAGGAAGAGCACTGCAAGTTCAAGGCCAGAATGGGCTATAGAGTGAGTTCAAGGCCAGCTTGAATTAATAGCAAGACCCTGTCTCAAAAAACAATTCTAAGCCCTTACAAGCCTATCTATACGAGAGGAAAACAATGAAAATCACCTCCAACTATTAAGAGTTTTGTTTTATACAGTATACGCTTAGCTTTAGCAAAATAGGCCAGACCTACAATAAGCTTTGCTGTCTTTTCAAAGGTAATTATCCCTTTCCTTTAGTCACTATTGATCATGTATATATATATATATATGTGTGTGTGTGTGTGTGTGTGTGTGTGTGTGTATTTTGAACTAATTTCCTGTTTCCTCAATCACATGCAACCTTCATAATACTTTGCTGCAGCTGATTGCTAGAAAAATATCTATTATAAGAAACGTGGCTAGGAGGAAAGTGAAAAATGAAAATTTTAGGTGGGAGATGATTTTTTTGACTAGAAATTTTCATTCTGGGATTCTCCAATGTATCAGTAAAAAAAAATCATTCTAGAGAATAAATCACCCTAAGGAAAAAAGATGGTCAGGTCCCAGGTAAATATGGCTCTGATTATCATATTGGTAATATATTTGGTTAATATTTGACAGCCAAGTATTTGAATCACAGTGCAATTTCCTCACCAAACACCAAAAATTTACCTTGAAATCTAGTAAACAAAAGAAATCCTGTTAATGATAAACATCAGAAGTCCCAATTACCAATTCCTAATGCTAAAGTCACAAGGCACCAATCACTAGACTTCCATTCAGGGTCAGCACTTAGAAGGAAAATTTAGCAAATAAACTAAACAGAATGTCATTAGACTATAAAAGTCTTACCATTCCCTGTACCTTGAAACCATAATGTTAAGTGAAATAAGTTAGACAAACAAGCTTAAATAGCACATGGTTTCTCATATGTGAGTAACCCAAAGCATAAATAAATTAAAGAGCAAAATAAAAAGAGAGTACATAAGAAAGAGGTACACAGATATTTTACAAAATTGAAGGGTATAGAGAGATAGGGGAAGGGGAAAGGGACATAAAAATAATTAAGATGTTTATGCAAATATATCAACTGCCCACAAACAATATAATCATTACATACTAATATATACTAACAAAAAAATTTAAATCTTACCAAATTTGATCCAGGACACCTGTATTTTCACAAAGATAGTGGATTCCTTAGCCAAATTCCCATGAAGCCTAAAAACTTTCCATAAATAAAATGCAATCGGAGCTGGGGATTTAGCTCAGTGGCATAAGCGCCTGCCTTGCAAGCAGGCAGTCGTGAGTTCAATCCCTGGTACCGATAAAAACGAAAGACAAAAAATAAATAAATAAATAAATAAATAAAATGCAATCAACCTTTTCTGTTAATATTGTAGTCACTGATTAGATATTTAAATATTGATGGACTATTTCTCATAAATGACAGGGATGGGCCTCTTTCCCAATTTTGATACACATGCTCTATTTGCCAGTAAAAAAAAATGTTGGAATGCTAATTGTTGTGTCTATTTTTCTAGTGCCATTTCCATGTGGAAGAGTTTCTATTCCATCCGTGTCTAAGGAGCACAACCGTGCTAATGCTATTTTTTCTCGTATGGGCTATGTAAATTTTACTGATGATGAAACCATTTGGGATGATAATGATGATGATGAAACCATTTGGGATAACAGCACTGAAAGCACCAAGCCATCTGATGAGTTTTTTCGGGTTGTTGGTGGAGAAGATGCCAAACCAGGTCAATTCCCTTGGCAGGTACTCTATACTAATAGCATGTCCAAACTGGAGCTCAGCTAGCAAAAGACAGACCAGCTACACGGCAAACTGAAACTAGGACAATGAGGGAAGTATTTAGGGATGTTTCAGCACTAATCAACATGGGGAAGTGCTGTAAGCCAGCAGCTGGTGAAAGATAGGTCCAGGGAGACCTACCCTACAAGATCAGGAAGAAGCTGGTCTCAAGGTAAGAGTAGCAAGATTCCAAACAAGCAATTGGTCAGCAGTAGGAAGGTCCAAAGTCCTGGAGTTCAAGGTAGTAATCCCAACTGAGGCCCTGGGAAAGCTGCTGAAAGTCAGAAGGTCTCTAGGCCCAGAGAAACTGAACTCTCTTGAAGGGAGTAAAGAATGCACATAGGAAAGATTAAAGCAAGAACAGGTTCCTGGAACTAAAGGTTGAGATAAATGCCTGCACCGCTGCTGTGGTTCTCAAACTATGGCAGCATCAAAATCACCTGAGAATACTTTAGGACTCTGAACTCATGACTGCTAGGGGGTGGAGCCCGGCAGTCTGTGCAAACAAGCCCTGCAAATTATTCTGATGCACAGCACAATTTGAAAACTTGCCTTAAGGGAAAAATTGAATACAGAAGCCAGATTCAAAACACCAAAGGATGAACACACCCTACCTAGTCTTCCAAGTGTATTCTGTAAACAACCAACATAGACAATGTTACCTATGCACGACTTTATGTAACACCGGGATCTAGACTTGTAGCAAAACCTGGGGTGTAAATGATCCCACAGCTAAAGCCTGAGTGAGTCCATCTGTGAAAAGAAAAAGGCACTCTTATCCTATCTCAAGGCAAGGAGCCAGGCTGGTCCTTATAAGTTGTGTTGTTTCATAAGGTAAACACTAGCCACATGTGACTACTTAAACTTCAATTAGCTACAACTGAATGAAATTCAAAGTCAATTCCTCAATCACTCTTGCTAGATTTTCAGTGCATAATAGCTTCATGTGGCTAGGGGATACTGTATTGGACAGAGCAAACAGAAATACAACATTTCCATCACTGCAGAAGTTTCTATTGGACAGTGCATTTAACAGTCTGATCTAAACTCTATAGTGGCATGATTATAATTTTGGTAGTGATTTCAAGGATACTTTACTCCTAAATATTTTCCCTACTGAGGTTTTAGCGTCTGCCATCAGAGACTGATACCTTTAAAAAGTGTTCAGTGACAAGTAAAGCCAAGATCAAATCAATGTCTCCAGGTTTAATGCTACTGGAATTTTCTGAGACTAGCTAGCAGGAATCTGTCCAGGGTTTTTGCAGAATGCTTGCCACAGTTTCCAACATGATGGATGTAAGGTATTGAGCATATACCTGAGATAAGAGAGACATTTGTAGAGAAGGGTACAGAAGGATAGAGGGACGGAATATCTCAATCAAGACATATTTTCCTTCCTTTTATCTTTGCTTTTTAGGTATATATATATATATATATATATATATGTATATAATTAGTGTGTAGTACTCTAAAATATCGAGTTTCATTGTGGTATTTTCATACATGCATATGTCATATTTTTTTATATGTCATATTTTGATCCTATCCATCTCTGTTATTATGCTCTCTGGCATCTTTGGTCTCCCTCCACCAGTTTCCCTTCCTCTTGTCTAATAGTCTTCCTTCTACTGGATTTGATCATATATCCCTGGAAATACACAATGTGTTGCTTTGCATACCTTATGTATCTACTTAAGGGCACTCTGCAAGAGCTGCTTCCCTCACCCGCTATGACCCCTTGCTTCAGTAGTCCACATCTTTACTCTGGTTCATAAAGCTTTCATAAGACTGACCTCTATGTGACCTTTCCTGAAACGATCTCTCTTGGATACAAACACTCTGGAAATGCTATTTAACAGCCAGATATGTAATTCTTCTTAATTAGTCCATACTTACAGTATGGAATGTTCACACTTCTTGGAGAGTTGGTATATGCACATAACACATCATAATACTTTTTTCATCCCCCTCTTCTTCTCCATTCCTTCTTGCCCTCTTTCATCTCTTGATTCCCTTCCCAACTGAGAAAAGTTTATCTTCCTACTTTCTATCATCTAGATTTTACTTTGGTCTTTGTTTATAATTTGATTTTCTCATATAAGAGAAACCATGTAATACTTAAGCTTGTGTAGCTGATTTATTTCACTTAACATTATGGTCTTGAATTGCATCCATTTTCCTATTGTCTTTATTATTTTGCTATTTGTATTGGTATGTAACTTCCAGGATAAAGTAGTTATAACAAGAGATACTACTTTATGACAGATATTCTCCTTGAGATTGTGGGACATCAAGCAGTATTTCTAGTGAATAATCCGGGAATCCAGAAGTGTGTTATTAGCTAAAACTATCACTTCCCATAAAAAAAAAAAAAAAAAAAACTGCACAGTTAAGTAAAAACCCCACGATGTTTGCATTGTAGACTTGATATTGATCACTTGTCATTCCAGAAATGAAGTGGCAAATATTTAAATAAGAACTAGAATGGGGGAGGGAGGGATAAAGTTCTCAATTTAGTCACATAGTCCCTGAATCCCACCCATACCCTTTAAACCAGATGCTTGGTGATGTTTTAACAATGCAGGTCTTTCCTAAAATAAATTTTAGTAATGATGGCAGGCATTTTCTTTTGTTTTCAAGCAGAAGAGACTCTTAAATGGTTGTTGCAGGTCTGAGGAAGAGGATATAAACAATACTCATATCAAATCATTCCTTGTATTTCTGAGCCTGTTGGCTTTTTCCTGTCAAGTCTAACTAAGATCATTTGGGGTTTTCAAGATCAATCACAAGCATGTGCATACGTGTATGTGCATGCACATATGTTAACTCCCTATTTTATCCATAAGAACCAAAATGAGTGGCACACAGGCACAGAGCACTTGATTTCTTCTTTCCAAATGTGAGATATTGAGATACTGTCTAGGGTAATTGAGAAACAGCCTGTTATAATTTTTCACTGCTGTCTTCATCACAAAAGAATGGTCTCTCCATACCTACCTCTATGCAGGTCTTCAGCAAAGGTTACTAATTTCCAAAAATAGAGGATAAAGTGTACAAAGGTCAATTTCAGCTGGGCATGATGCACACACCAGTAATACCAGCTTCTTGGAGACTGAGGTAGGAGGATTTCAAGTTCAAGGCCAGCCTGAGCAACTTAGAGAGATCCTGTCTCAAAGTAAGAAGGGCTAGGTTTGTAGCTCAATAAAATTCTTAGCATGTATGAGGCCCTGGATTCAAACCCCAGCACTACAAAAAGGGTTTTTTAAAAATATTTTTAAATGGTTGCTTTTAAACAATGATGAATCAGGAAATGAAATAAACCAGAAACTCTCCTTATTGGTAGAAAAGACAGCTCTGATATATCACAGTTGATCACTAGGGTACAAAAGAGATTTTAGTCAAGAATGCAGCCAACCCTGCTGGGGCCAAGACATCAAAAGACAGTAAACAACAGCTGGTATTCCAGTGGCTACCATATTATGTATATCTCTGGCTTTGCAGTGTGAAGTACTATTTAGAACTGTCACCTAGAAAAAAGTGTTTCTAAATGCTGATGCTTCATAAAATCCTTTCTATTCAAATTGTTTCTTTTTAACTTTCTAAATGGTGATGAGTGAGAAAAATGATCACTCGGGGGAAGAAATCTGACAAAGAGCCGGGAGTTTACTTTCATCCAATGAACAGTTTGAATGAACTGGAAATGTTTAGGTTAGCTGTCTACAAAAGTGAATTGGCATAGGCAAAGATAACTGTTCCGTGGACTTCCAGGCGAAACCGGTAGACAGGCAGGCTGATTCTGGTCTTAATTAAGAAACCCCTTTGTAATCACTGGATGCCAGGCTCAGCAGCTTTGGAGGATTGGCTGAAGACATAGATGATCAAAATATTGAGTGGATGTCTAGGTTTTAAAAACGCACTGTATAAAAAACACATTGCTATTAATCCTCCTCAATCCACTCCCTCTTGCTTTGAATGCACTTAACCCGTCATTCTTGCCACTTTCTGAAGCAGCTCGGGAAGATCCCTTTTGTGAGTGTCTTACTTTCATAGTCCTGGATGACTCAATGATCTGAATTGATTCAAAAGGTTGATCTTTCATGGTCATTTTGACTTTGGGGAAGAGCCAGAAGGCACATGGTGCCAGATCCAATGACTAAGGTGGATAAGGACACACTGATGTTTTTCCAAGCTTGCTTTTCCTTTGGATAGCACTCAGCAGCAGCATTCACTGGATGTTTTTTTAAAAATCACCCTTCATAAAGACGCAAAAGAGGAGCTTTAGAATTTCTGCAAAAAGTGGCAAATCGCATCCTTTTGTCTTTGAGTGCCTCAGGGTCTCTGTTTTAATGGCAGAGAAGTATTCCTTTATGTGTCAAGACCACATTTTCTTTGTCCATTCTTCTGTTGATGGACATATACACTGTTTCCAAGACCTAGCTATTATAAATGGTTCTTCTATAAACATGGGTATGCATGTATCACAGTAATATGATGACTTTAACTCTTTTGAAGATATCCAGAAGGGGCATTCATAGGCAACTCAAAATATGTACATATGGCAAAATAGAAGACAGATAAATAGGAAGTAGGCATATGTTTAAATAATTTCCCAAATTATCTATTCCATTTTTTAAATTTATATAGGCTAATTTATTTCCTATATACTACCAGTTTGTTCATTGAAAAGAAATTTTTGTTCTTTTGTTTGTTTCTTCTAAGAGAGTCTCTCTTTTATCTATGACTCATACTCTGAGTAACATTTTGGCTGTTCTTTCATGATCATAATATATAGTACATTAACTATTGTTGTTTTCTAATTATTTAGTTATGAGATTTTGTTTCCTTTTTCATTGAAGTAAGAGTATTTTATATATTAATATCTATTTGTATTACACTGAAATAAAAAAGAAAATGGAAAGTATGATTGGGTGGGTGTTCAAAGTAAGGGGAGTATTTCAAGGGAG